CTATGTTAAAATGTTTTGAAGTTGTTATATGCAATAATAATTTAAAAAAAGATTGGTACCTGTTGAATTGTGTATTATAAATAAAAATACACGTAGATTTGAAGAAGCATCTTATTTAATTCAGTACAGACATGTATAACTGGAATATCTTAACCCAGGGAGGGAGGGAGGGAGGAGAGAAGTGAGGTGGGGGGAAAGGGGGGTAGGAGGGAGGGCGGGGGGAGGGAAGGAGGGAGATGGCTCAACTTACCCCACTCCTATGCTCAACTTACCCCAGACACGGGGTAAGTTGTGCCACAAGACCACTTTTTTTGGACATGCTATATTATCAAAACAGTTATGTTTACACTCATTCTGTTTGTTTGTAGGGATGCACAACATCCTGAAATATATGCACATATATTAGTTAGCAACAAAACTATAATATCCCTAATGTAGTGATCCTGAATATGAAAAGTTGCTCATCTTACCTTGAACTACACATATCTGCACTTTTGGGCTAACACCTCCATATGAAGTATATGTCAAAGGTTCTTCTGACTTTGGTGACTCCTACTGGTCATGTTAATGAAGACACTGTTGCAGACAGCACTGAATATTGATACTCTGTTTTTAACTCTACCGACTCCTGATGGAAATATCTGGCTGCTAAATGCTCCGTCATGTCACCAACTGTCTGCTGTTTAGTGCTCGGTTGTGAAAGTACAGTTGGTTTATTAAAGAAAATCTGGAACAGCTTCCTGCTGCAGCTGGAAAAAACTCTGATGAGAGCCGTCAGAGTAATTGAAAATAGTATAGTTGTGGGCTATAAAACCAAAACTGTCAGTTAAAATACATTAAGACGCTCCATAGAGCTGTAAACTGCAGAGTGAGGTGGATTTATTACTATGATCAAAACCATTCACCTCATTCAAAGTAATTTGATCAGTTCTTTATATAAGAATGTTCATGTGTGAAGATTGAAATGTTAATAAATCAGTTATTGATGTGTTATAGATCAGTAATAAGGACATTGGGGTAGCACACTGTGAAAAATCTCTTTGGCTGCTGTTGAACCTGGTCACACCTACTTATTAGGAAGTGGTACAGTAACAGACAGCAACACTGGTGTCAAGCACAAGTACAGTCTGTGATGACCCAGGTGGGTTACAGATGAGGATGGGATTGATTGTCTTAAAGGGAGGGATCAAATTTAACCTGCATTATGATTTCCAGATGTGTTATATAAAAATTAGTTTATGAAGACCGAGAAAGGTCACTTTATTGAGCCACTGTGATTTCACTTTCATAGGTTTGAGGTTATGTGTGTACTGGTTTGTAAGCGAAAGAGGAAGGGGTTTAAAAACATGGACCTGAAAGCATCAGATTGAACACACCTACACAGTCTTCAGTCCAGGTTGCTGCCTCATTGTGCAGCTGGGGAAGAATCAGAGTGTGTGGACTGAAGGTAAACTGTGAGTGATGGGATCGACCTGGATCTCATGGAGAACAACTACAACTGTCCTCATTACTCTACTACAAATCCAAGGTGGGCAGCTGGCTATGCTTTCAGATTTTTTAAGCTGATGTTATTCTCTTGAGATAAGCAGTTTATTACTTGATAAAATGAAGGAACAACTAACACAGTTTTTTTCTGACTGACAGCCCTGATCAGTGTCAAAATCAAAGCTGTTACAGGGGTGGAAGGCCAGAGATTTGACTTCAGATGTGACTATGAAAAAAGCTGGCAGAAAAACGCCAAGTATTTCTGCTATGACAGTGATGACAGTGATGACAACATGTCCTTCACCCAACTGATACGGACAGAAAAACATGACCAGTGGCAGAGAACTGGACGTTTCTCTCTGTACGACAACACCACTGCAGCCTTCTTCATCGTCAGGGTGGACAAACTCACCTCAGAGGACAGCGGGACCTACAGGTGTGGGGTGGACATTAGCCTCCGGCCTGACGATATCAGATTCATACAGCTGAATGTTTCCCGAGGTACAGTGTGTCACACAGCACAGAATCACTATGTTCATATATGGTCTTCATGCCTTGCAGCTATACATCTGTACAGTTTCTGTCCACCTGCTGGTTTCGATCTAAAAATGTTGCTATTACTGTAAATAAGAACTAAGTAGAGTTACTTTTCCCACACCTGTTCCTCTTTTCTGAACCACTTACTTCTGTGGAAATGCTAGGACAAAGTGTAAAAGTATATATATTTATATATGATCTTCAGGTACATTTATTTATTACAATGCACATTTAAGTTTTTGTAAACTAATTGTTTTATTTGCTGCCCTTCAACAACAGCAAATCCTCTAGAAAATTTCACACATCAAAGTAAGTAAGATTTGTGAAACTACACAATACATCAGTTAATTCTGTGCGTATTTATTTCTATACAAATACTTTTTTAATGTGCTTTTTTTTATTTGTGCTTTCCAGTAACTGGATCACCCATCTTTCCAAAGGAAACAGTGGACAGTGAGTTGTATAAATATAAATATGCATATACCTATGTATTCATAGTGTTCAGTGTGTCTGTGTGTGTGTGTGTGTCTGTGTGTGAATCCTGATCTTCAGTTGTCGTTCTCTCCTGCAGAGCTCCACCTGCCGCTGTTCATGACCGCAGTGATGTGTATGGCAGCGATGCTGTTTATCTGCCTGTTTACACTTTGTCTTCTGCTGGCTATTAAACAACGGAGACCCGGCCCACGCCAGAGTAGAGAGGTTTGTGCAAACTTTTAGCCACACTAGGAGCATTGCTTTCAGAATGGCAACACTGGTCGGTCCACCACTTTTGTCCAAAAGGAAATTTCTCAGTAACAAGTGGATGGATGGGCAGAAATTTTGGTCCAACGTCATGTTCCCATTGGGATGAAATGTACTAGGTTTGATGACCCTCTAATTTTTCTATTGTCCAATAATTGAGCATAGTATTAGTTTAGTCAGGACACAATATCAAGCTCAGCTCACATCCCAGCTACATCATCTGATCTCAAATAGCCAATCAACTGATGAAGCGGTTGATTGATGGAAGGGAGTCAGCTGATAGACCACACGATTCCTTTCTATGCAACCAGTTGGCGAATCTCATTCAGGGCGCCCTATTTAAACTGCTCTGGCCTGTCTACTGTTGCTGCTTCCTCTGCAAGCTGCTTCACAACCTGCCTCCACCCCAGCTCCTCCTTTTCATGCTGTGTCTGACTTATCAGAGTCATTTCTGTTTGTCACTGATGCTGCTCTCTTCTGTTCCTGGGGGTCTTTGCTGCTGCTCTCCCAGCCTTAGGCTTTCCATGTAGGCACATGGAAAAGCAGAGCGGTGTGCTCTCCCTGCCTTATGTCTTTCCACGTAGGCGCGTGGAAGAGGCTTTCTGCGTAGGCCCGAGGAAAGGCAGAGGGGCTCCAGAATGGAGCCATACCACCAAATATAATACTGGAAAATATATATAATGGAAATAAAGTTTTCTTTGACTGAAGTATTCCTGACTGAACTTTGGTTAAAGACTAAACACCTGCAATGCTAATGACATTCCCATCAGCCTCAGCTGTACTTTCTGTTAAGGGCTAACTGGAGGATGTTGAGCTGGATTTGTATTTGATGCAATGGGCTAAATCAAAGTTTCCACATCCGCATGTCCACGTAATTGTCGTCAACCACCCATGTCCACGACGGTCCTCACAGGACCCCTGTGGGATGTCCGCATGAAGCCCACTTTTTTGTGACTGCATGGAACAAGCATGCTGACCGTGCATGCTGCAATCTCTTGTTCCACAGTCCAGTCCAGTTCAAAACACTGCAGTAAAGCCAGCTGCAGCGTTCACTCCAGACACAGAGGTACTTATGCTGTAGGACTGTAAAATCTTTGGCCTGGACTAGTGTAGACATACTGCAAAATAAACTGATTAAACAGTTTCATACTGCTGAACAAAGACACTATGCAGTAGTAGGTGGTTTTGAATACAGTCTGTCTTGTTTACTTACTGAAAATACCACACTGAATAACGTAGTAGCAGGAAGCAGTTCACTCTCAGCAGGTTTCTTTTCATACCCACAGATGTCATCTGACTACGAGACAATGATGCCTGGTGTGAGAACTGAACCTGAATTACGCTGCAGCTGTTCGTCTGTAGACTGTGCTGATCTTTCAGCTTTACCACCACCACCTGCTGACCTCTGGTCCCACTTTCCGCCTAAGAATCGGGAGTCCACCGTCACTCTCGGCCTTGGTGAATATGTTGATGTGGATGTACCAAAGCAAATCTGCCAGTACCAGCACCTGGATCTCAGCCAGTTTGAGGAGCACGTCTATCACAGCCTTCATGGAAACAACGATCCTAAAGATGGACCTGTGGGAGTGAAAGAGCTGATTGACTATTGATGGATGGATAATTCCAGGTTAATTACAACCTACAGAAAGTCTGTAACTTTACAGCTAACCTTTGTTTTCTTGTTGCCATGTTCCCAGATCTCACCTATTAACCTGATGAGATATGCGTTATGTGATATGAGGCAACACTAAGTCCCAGGTTGTAATGAATAGTGAATTTAAGCCAAGCTCATTCAAAAGTTAGTGATTAAGGATCTTAAGTCAAGTTGCTATAGTGTTAATTGTTGCTGTGTTTGGTTTTCACAGTCTGAGGAGGACTCTCTTGAGTTGACAAAATCCGCAAAGAAGAGCTGACTGCATGTGTTACCAACTGTCTCACGTTGCTTTCTGATATATTTCATTAAAATAAACCAAGTGATATTATCTGAGGGTGTCCTTGTGTCAGTTACTGAATGGCCTTATTGATCTCTTAACATTCACGATGAGACAGACAGAAGATGGGAGGGATGTTTTGGTGTGCTTCACATATGGTCAAAGTGGTCTGGTAGAGAGATTTAGAGAGAGGAAGCTGGCTAAAATTAGGAAGTGCAACAACAAAGAGGAACCTATCACACAAGCAGAGTTATCATTCATGTAGAGTCTATTGCATAGACCTGAGACAAGGGTGAGATAAGAAAAGGCAAAGGAAAGTAACAGACGAATCAAGTCTGAGCAACATGAAGATGATTTTCATAATTTCGGTCTTTCTTGTGGGAGGTATGTTTATGGAGATTCATTCTTTTGTCAAGTTGTCTCTGCCTCTTTGTTAATGTTTGGTGTTTTTGTGGCTGTGAGCTTTCTCAGGTGGAAGTTTGTGTTTTTTAAAATCACTTTTAAAATACTTTGAGTGAATGGGGAAGACTTGTTTGAGATTTATCAGTAAGAATTGTTTGTTGTAAAAGGGGAAGGACAATTTCATCTCAAATTAAAAAAAACTGCACCGCTGTTATTCAAAGGAGGGTTAACTTTACCGATGACGGCTGTCAAAACAGTCTGTAAGCGTCTACAATAACACTGAATGACATGTTGGAGTTGTGATAGAAGTGGGGAGTGCACCAGTGTTGCAACCTGGCAAAAATAGGAGTCCAACATTACTGTCTTTAAGAGGTAGCACGAATTCGGTATCTTGTGAAACTAGACAACATAATCCATTGGTACCAATCATGTCGGCAAAGCTTATCATGCAGGGAGCTAAATCATACTCCAAATTTAGGCTTAGTTTTGGTGAGGGAACAACTGGCATGCCTAATTTCAAAGGGGTCCCTTGAACTCTAACCTAAGTTAGAGGTTGGGGGGGATCTACAGGTACCCAGGAGTCTTCCTTAAACTTGAGAGGGCTTGTTCTTGGTAAATGTGTTGTTCCTTACAATGAAAGGAGGCTTACTCCTTCAAATTAAAGCTCAAAATTAAAGGAAAATGGGACATTTAGTCTATTTGAATAACACATAACACATTCAAACAAGACTGTTGTGGACTTCAAAATGCTGCCTGTACCAGTATTGGTCTATGCACATCAGATAATTAGTACTAAGTGTAAAATACGAAACCAGAGTGCGTCAGTATGCAGTTCCTTAACTCAAGTATTGACGCAGTTATCAACTTGTGTATAAATTTCAACAGCATGATTGAATTGGGGAAATTCAATAGAATTACAGGGGGCACCCCTGGAGTGCACCTTCAGAGCAGTTTTTCGGAAATGATTACCAGGGTTTAGAAAAATACAAAATGTACAACACAAAAATTTGTTTTCTCCTATATCTGTTTATCCGTATAGTTTTACCTCTTTAGGCCTCTAAAAATGATTCAGATGAAACAATCAAAACAGAATAAACTGCCTACAACTAAAGTTTGGAAACCATTGCTTTAAAGAACAGGATAGGTCTATTTGGTTGGTATTATACAGTGTCACTGCTAAGGTTCAACAGCTGTTTGCAAACTGACTGAATGTCTGACCTCTGTTGCTGTCTGTGTGTTTTGTGCAGGTTTATGGGAGACTGAAGCTGAGTCAGTAACAGGAGTGCTGGGACGAGAGGTCACAATAACATGCTCTCACTCTTACGCATCTTCCAACGTCAAATATTTCTGCAAGGGAGTGTGTGGATATGAAGACATCCTAATAAGTAGCAGAAAAAATAAGAAAGATTCTAATGGGAGATACAGTATTAATGATAGTGGAAACACATTTTATGTGACCATCTCTAGGCTGACGGAGGAAGACGCAGGAACTTACTGGTGTGGAATAGAGAGAGCTGGTGTTGACACATACAATGAAGTAGTCCTCATAATCAAAAAGGGTGAGTTAATTCAGTGTTGTGTGTCAGTAGCTTTTATGGCGTTACTATTTATCATCACTTAAAGAATAAAGACCTTTGCTCAATTTCCTTTTCACTAGAAAATGGCCATTATTTCACAACACAGTCTGTCTCACACTGATCTTCTCCTTTTTGCAACAGGGGGAAAAAAAGACACTGAAACAGCAGATAAAATGTGGCTGAGGGCCAGAGAACAAAATCGACATAATTCTTTGTTTTTTTTCTCTCAGAAAACCCTGACGATGCCTTGGCTCAATCAAATGCTTCATCCTCTAGTAAGCACCTGTCTGGTTGTGTGTTGATTTGTACGTGTGTGAGATAAATCCTCAGTGGTATATCGTCACTGAGACGTGATGTTGTCTCTTTTTCAGAGATACTGGTGTACGTTGGAGCAAGTCTCGGGGTGATTGCGCTGGCACTTGCAATTGTCCTTCTGATGTTCTTCAGACATCGAAAGAGAGACACCAGTGCATCTTCAGGTATAATGCCAACAGACTCATTTCATAGTAGTTTCAGAATATGATGGCAGGGTAAAAGACACATGGTAGAAAACATATTTTCCTGAACAACTATCCCAAGCCACCTTGAGATGTACACCATAGAAACATCCTCGAGATGATCGAGCAAGTCGCCACCTTGGAAATAAAAGGTTGTACCTGGATTCTGAGCAGTCTTTAGATATTGAGCTTCATAGTTTTTGCATTCCAAATAGCAAAAATGTTATCTGGAACAATGCTTCTTCATACATGAAAATGACAGATACTCTAAAGTTATTTTATATAGACCCTCTTAGGGCCGACGTCACAGTGATTTCAGTTTGTTAGCTGGAGGCAAAACACGACTCGCCACCACACGGCTGGAGGCTACATAGGAGTCTTAAAATATTGAACACAAACACTTAAATTTCATCACATACCAACTGCCACTGCCCGTCAACAAAAACACAGTCAACTATGGCTAGGGATGAATAACGTTATGTGTATTAAGGGTTATCATGTCCACCTCATCAGAAATTGGCGAGGTATTAAGAGGAATATTGGATTTCTCCGTAATGCTAACTTTTTAGCGCACTAGCTAGCGTTAGCTCCAATAGCAAAACAAAGTGGACCAAGTGTTGTCCTCCTTTGTAAGTTGGCATAGTAATCAACCACAACGCCAGCCATCCCCCCTTCAGCAAACCTTTCAAATCACTGAGTGAGAGCATAAGGGTTGGCCAGTCTGGGCCCGCTAGTCAGTGTTTTTACCTCCGCCAAGGAGGTTATGTTTTTCTTATTCAAGTAACACTCGCTGTCCCAGAGAATGAGTGACCTGACATGGTGCGTTTATAAATTCAGTCTGACGCTCTACACTAAAATGAGAACCGTTTTAGTCGAAGAAATAAATTGTTAAATTTCTATATAAAGTAACGGACGGTTAAGTTAATCACACATTCACTTCACTGGCGCTCTGCTGCCCTGTCACCAAGAGAGCGCTCTGCCATTCGGAGAGTGCGGTGATCTGGATAACCGAACAATACGTTCTGACAGTGATCTGAATTTACTTACGGTCCAGTTTGTGCCATAGTCGCAGATGGAACTTTATAATCCTTTGAACTCACTTCCTGCTTGTTCTCTCTTGGAAAACATGAAAAGAAGCTATAATTTTCAATGAATACAAATAGTTTACTTATTATTTGTTTAAAAACATAAAATTAGTGTAACACTAGTGTCTACATGTATGAGTAAATTTTTATTTAATGCTTTCTGTGACATTTCTACAATAATTTTTTTGTTTGTTTCAGGACAAATCTCATCGTTCTTATACAGAAAAGCATTGTAGGTCAGGTAAAAGTCAGTGCACCCTGTCAGGTGTAGAGGTCAGTTTTAGGTAGGAATATAATTGGTTTTTAAACACATTATTCCAGGAACAATTAGTTTAAGTTTTCTTTTGGTTAGAAAGCAAGCAGCTACTGTGATATATCTAACCAGGACTATACTGCAGTGTTTTTTTGCGAGGGGGTCAGAAAGAAGAGGCTACCGCTGGCGATATGGCTGACATATCAATCAGAGAAAAGGCAATGCTGAGGTTGCATACAAAATGGGCCCAAAAAGTAAGGTGTAGGGAGATTGAGGCAGGTTGTTGTCTGATGACACATTTACAGGCTACACTATCTTGTTGTCAGAACCTCAGAGAGCACTGCAGCACTCAGTCCTTGTCTCTGTTGTTATCTTGGTCTTCACTGTAATGCATAAAGCTGGTGGTTTGCGGGTTAAGTCGAGTTTAGTTGGTTGATTACCACATATTCTTGTGGGTTGGGTGGTGCAGATTAGGTGGCTGCGGGTTAAAAATACGTGACCAATGTATCACTACTGGAAAAGTTTTACAAATATGTACCTTGATGGATTAAAAATTCATAAAATAAAAAGTCATAACTGAACTTGTTTGCAGTTTGTCCTTTCAAGAGTTTTACAAATGTCCCTTTCATAATGGCGGTCTCCAGGGGAAATGCTCTTTGGACCCAAGGGGATTATTTTTGTTGCAACAACGTGAGTGGCCACTGGGACAAACTGGCAACACAGCTGAGTGGTGGTGCTGTAGCTAGCTCTCTTATTACATCAATGCAACCACCCAGCATCTTTTGTAATACCTAACCAGTTAGCAACCAAATAGCTACCACATAGCAACCACCGCTTCCTACAACCTGTAGTAACTGCTCTTACACACTGAAAACCACAGCAGACTGGCCACTGCATTGGAAAAAAAACACGTAATACCTCAGCAACAATTTAGCAACCATCTACGACACCAACAATAGTCTAGAAAATTTGAAGGTACATCATGCCTTGTGAAATGGGGGCATTTGCACTGTATGCACACAGTCCAGAAACAAGCCAGATGACAATATCCAGGTATGTTAGTGGAGGCAGTGCATCAGGGTCTGTGATCCAGCCCTGGGCTGCCAAGTCAAATGGATTCAATGTTGTTAATTGTGATTAGTAGGTCCGAAAACTGTTGCCTGACCACCGTGGCACACGCAGTCCTCATAAGATGGCGCCCCCATCCAGTCATTGAACACTGCATGACCTGAACCTCACGTTCTCTATTAGTACTGCCTCAACATGTATTAACACTTTTAAAGTATAAAGTGGTAGCTAATATGTAAATGAGCAGCAAGCAACAAGACAGCAACACCATTTTCCATATTGTATTTTTTTGTTTTAGTCTGTTTTGCAAACATGTCTGTCCTTCCTCTTTGCTCTTCTTGGCAGCAATTTACTGTTTGTTTGGGTTTTTTTTTTGGCTATGCTAAATGTAGCATTGTGGCACCGGAAAGAAAAAAAATATTTCAGGAAGTGAAAGTAAAAAGTGTGGTTTTCATTTCACAGCAATCTAAAACTTGTCACTGTATCATCACTCTCTATTCAGGAAAGGACCATGATGTGGCCTATGCAACAGTAACTATTCAGAAACAGAATGGACAGAACATCACTACTTCCTCTTTAACAGCCAATAAGGATCAAGACACAGACAGCAGGACTAACGGCTCATCGACCACTCAGCACCAAGATACCAGCAATATTTACTCCAATGTGGCTGTTTCATCCGAGCCTCAGATCCAACCCGAGGGCCTCTTCTACTCCACTGTTAGCTTCAACAAACACATAGACTGCAGCACTGTCACACCTCACACTGAAGCACCCACATACTCCGCTATCAAAATACAAAGCAACAGATGAATCAACTGTGCATGACAATGCCTGAGCTCAGTGCTGATCATCCTCAGTGCAGTATCTTCCTCTGCTTTAAGAATTTGAGTTATGCTTGCAAATACCCACCACTATAATAATATTTTGCACATATTTATTTTTTACATGTATGCAGGACAGACATTATCAGTAACACCAACACATTCTCACTCTGACCTTGTCACATACTGTATTGATGTGCTTGGTCATGGACTTTCCACATCCACACACAACGTGAAAGGTACCCTGGGTGCGTTGGTTGTTGACGTTCTGGGACACTGTGTCAAGTTCTGCCTGTTATATGCATTGTCGTTTTTCAAATACACTTCCATTTTCACAGGAAATTTAACTTTCTCATACAGTCTCTTTCAAAATAAACGCACTACGTTGGTTCAACACTGTGATTGAATTTTTTTTCCTTCACCAACCAAAAAAGCACGCAGTTCGGTTTAGGTAAAAAGAACAGGGTTTGGCTTTAGACTCTTACGGGATGCTGACAGCACTCTCCTGGGTCAAGGCCAGTGTTTGTTGGACCCATCGACCACTTAACTTTTATTCTTGTCCTGCCACATTTCACCCTGACGCCGCCAAGCGCTATTAAACTGTAACTGTGACCACAGTTCTTGCCAATGTTAGCTTTTTTCGTCAGTGTGCGCAAGTCACTGCCCAAGCACGGGGATTCAACGACTTTGGAGTCTTGGGTGAAGGTTGGTGTTTGTTAGACACATCCACCACTCCTCCCACCTGCCCCACTTGGACATTCACTGCCTTAGCTTTCGTCCTTGTCCTGCCTTCCTCCCACAGTCCAAAGACATGCAGGTTAACTGGTGACTCTCACCCAATGTCAGCTGGGATAGGCTCCAGCCCCTCCGCGACCCTCAAGGGAATAAGTGGTTATGAAAATGGATGAATATTGTTCAGTAAGTATATTGTCATTCGCATGTTTATGAAGTTTTAATAATTAAGATTAAAAGCAATAAACAAAGTCAGGACAAATTGTGGTCATTTTTTGTTTTGGCTGTACTGCTAAGCTGGTCAAATGGCACTTACGCCCCTCTGCTTCTCACACTCATTATACTGCATATAGAGTGAGTATGAGTGTCTGTGGTTGTCAGGATTTAGTGGAGAAGTGAAACATGTTCACACCAACAACTCAGAATATTCACAAACACACACACACACACACACACACACACACAGCTTTACTTAGAAAGAAACTGAGAATGTGATGTGAGCAAAAAAAGAGGCTTCGTTAGATAAGCATGACACACCTCACACTGTTCAACACTTCCTGATTCATTGTGGGGCTCCAGTGGTGCCTTAGATTGAATTTCGACTTAGTGAAGTGGTCTGAGAGTCTGAGAGTTGGTGACGGGCAGAGAAGTTAGACCCCAAGGGGAAAAAAGGTGGGAGAGAATTTAACAAAGATGGCAATGAGGAAAATGCTTCTTCTAACCGCCTGGCTGTTCCCAGGTGAGTGCCGATAACAACACATTCCAGCTGCAGGTTTAAAATAATCTACCTACAGGGTTGATATCTTTTATTAAACGGCTGAGAATATTTGAATTTTTTGTGCCAGTTTAGATACAAAAAATGTCAGTGAAGACATCCAGTAAAAGGGTCACCTCATTTCAAAGACAAAGCAAAGTCTTTCTGCACATTTGATCTTTACAATAAATACATTAATTAATCAATAAATAATAATCTCCTGTGTTTATTTTTGTGTTGAAGCAGTCAGATGCCAACAATCAAAGATAATTCTATCAGCCCGGGAGGGAGGGCTGGTTAACATCCTCTGCTCATATGACTCTGGGTATGAAAAATATCCTAAGTATTTCTCGAAAGGCATTTATGCTAAAAGAAGGACCGTCTTTAAAATCACTGGTAATGCAAAGAGAAGCCACAAGAAAGGAAATATTACTCCTGTGATGATACCAAAAAAGGATCCTGAATGTCACCATCTATAAACTGGCCCTGAATGATGCCGGGACATACTGGTGTGAAATAGATGCATACTTTTATGATCCTAAAACAGAAATCGAGCTCAAAGTCAACAAAGGTATGTCAAAGTTAATTATTTTCTTTCTATCTTGAGCTATGTTTCCTATTACTGCACTTGTGTTCATTCTTCCTCCCTGAACCTATAGTCTTTTTCTGACAGCTCCTGCGCCTCCTAAACCTCCACTGGTCACATCAAATCCTCCTGAGTCAACTACAGCTCAAGCCATCACCAGGAACCAGCGACAATCAGACACAACTACAGGTTACTTACACTGTATGTATTACACTGTGTTCAGGAATGTACTCTATAGACATTTTCATAAACTATTTATGAAGATATTATTAACATATTATCTTCTTTTACCTAGTGACAGAGAGGGCCAGTAGTACAACACTGTGGCCCACACCACCTGCAGGTGTGCACACAGGTAACACCTCCCACACAACAATTTATTCAGTTTTCTATATTTCAAGCCACCTCGACTACTGTAATGCACTTTCTACTGGCCTCCCATAAAACACCACTGAGAGACTTCAGCCCATTCAAAACTCTGCAGCTTGGCTGTTAACCAGAACCAAGAGGAGAGAGCACATCAGGCCAGTCTCAGCTGCTCTGCACTGGCTTCCTGTTACATTTAGAATTGATAAAAGGTCCACCTCCTTCTATACAAAGCCCTACATGGGCTGGGACAGAGCTACATTAAACGTACCGGTTCACTTTAGCCTTAACTAGGACCCTACCATACCAGAGTGACGACACTTCCATTGACTCCTGTGGTATGCTGAAGTTAAGCCTCACGCACCCTCTAGTGGGGCACGAGCGCATTACCTGTCCGACCAGAAACCTATTCACTTACAGTATGTGTGACGCGCACGTGCTTGTTATTTGATGAAAACGGCCTTTTTTTTACTTTTAGGTGTCTTGGTCATATTAATGCTTATAATTTGTTTATTTCAAAATGTAGACAGTAACTTTATGGTAGACAACTGTTGTTGTTTTTTTTTTTATGTGTAAACGGGTCACCGATGCTCCTATTACGGTAGATTATGGTAGATTATGCTTTTAGGTTTGCTTGACTTTGGAAATGCACAAGAATTCCTGGTCGGCAGCAATGCAGCAATACTGAAGTTCAGTCAGTTCTTGGTCGGATATGCAACGCACTATCCCGCCACTAGAGGGCACGTGATCAACTTTCCGCTTGACCAATGTGTCTCTGGTATAGAGTGTGCCAGGGCTGATGTCAAAACCCGGAAGTTTAGCATCGCACTGGTTCCCGGAAGAGAAAGTGAATGTGATTTTTGCATTGCGTTTTGGATTATGTCAGAAAAAGTTTTTGTTACTTACAGGTTTTGTTCAGCAAGATAATCTTCACATATGAACACCTTTCATACCGCATTTGAAGCTTAAATGCGATCGCCAGAAGTAAAACGCTAACGTTAGGCTTTAACGGACTACATGACTACTCCACGGTCGCATGACTCTTGATGTCACCACCACTAAGCTTTCAACTGATTTCGGCCGCTTTATTTTAAAAACATTGTATAATGGGGAAATCGGACTGTTTAAGCTAAATAAGAAGCTGTAATGGCGGACTGCCAGCACTCTCGCCTGTTCGGGGGTGATGACGTTTAATGTACCCGACAGGGTTTGTAGTCGTATTGAGCAACTTGTTAGCAACCGCTTTTTTTATGACACGTAAAAGCTTCAAAATTCACAAGTAGGGTATTTACTGACGTGTTTTATGTCGTAGAACAAAACCTGAAACTCGCTTAAACTTTTGTTAACTACAGACCTTATTTGAGGCATTTTACCAAAATCCCATTCAAAAACGTATTGACTTTTAGACGAGAGAACCGGAAGTGCTAAAAGCGCTAACGGAGTTCCGGGTTTACTGGTACACTCTATTGTAGGGTCCTAGCCTTAACTAGCTCTGACTTCCCTGATACAGATCTGAAACGCTTTCCTTTTACACTTTTACTCTCTCTTTACGCTTCATGCTGCTGCAGCTCTTTCAAAATCTTACTTGATTTCATGATTTATAGTTTTGCAAATCTTTGATTTTATAAATCAGGTAATCCATGTTTTAAACTGTTTTAAATGTCCTTTTATATCAAATTGTCTTGAAGTCCATTATGTCTTTTCTAATGTTTAGCACTCACTGCTTATACTGACCTTAAAGAACTTTGTGCTGCATTTCTTTAACGAACTATGTAGTAACTATGTGGTCTTGCATGACTATGATTATTTTACAGATTATCCAACAAGCCAACTTTGAAAAGGACAAAAAAATCTAATGTTCTACCAAAAAAGTCTCAGTGGCTTGGTGGTTGAGCGGGCGCCCCATGTGCAGGGCTGTTGCCACAGCGGCCCGGGTTCGAGTCCTGCCTGTGGCCCTTTGCTGCGTGTTGCTCCCTCTCTCTCTCCCCCTTCTGCACCTCACCTTTTAAACACAGGAAATTCAAGACCTTTACACAAGTTTTCATAAAAGTTTTGCATGAGGCATGGGCCTTCAGGGGGGTCCACGTGCCCCAGTTTTTTTGTTTTTTTTTTCAAAAAATTTAAATATATCTCAAAATAAAGATAAACACAAATCGAGCATATAAATAACAAAGACAAATCGGCTTATTCCTACAGAAACAAACAAACAAACAAAAAACCCCAACCCATTTAATTTACAGCACATGGCATTGATGATGGGCAAACTGTTACCCCTGAATCCTTGTCAAATAAATCTATGATGTATAAAAATACAGTCAATGATTATTATTTTAAAGTTTGTATTGTATGCAACATATAAAGGTCTGTTCATACATGGCATTTTCGGCCGTCCTACACGTTACTGTAGGCCCAGTTTAATATGCAGTCCCTGCTCCGTCTCTCTTAAAGCTAGCATAGTGGCTAAGGTCATGCTGTAATGTCACCTGTTTCCTTTTTAGAGGTTTGTATCTGCTAAGGTTTAAAAAGGAAAAGCTTATGTCAATTTGTTATTCAAGGCCAAATGTGTTTTCCAAGCTTATATTTGTACTGAACTGATAAATTAAAGAGCATTTTGGGTTTCTTTTTCTGTTTCTTTAAGATTTACATTTTTGTCAAGTAAAAGTAAACAGGCTAACAGATAGGAGATGTATATTTTGTTTTGAGCATGTCTTGTGCTTAATGTGATACTACTCTTCACTTTAGCGTTATCACCACTGGCAGGAAAGGAGCTGTACTTGGTTGTGGCTGCTGCTGCTGCTGCTGCTGCTGTGTTGCTGCTGGGTCTGGTGGTGTTTTTGTA